GAAGAATATTGCAGTTGGTGTGGCCACGGGCTGGGGACGGGAATGGGTAGTGACGGCTCAAGGGTACAGGGTGTCCTTTGGCGTGATGGAAATGTTCTGGAATTAGAGGTGGTGCCTGCACGATACCATGAATGTTCTAGATTGGATTGTATTTATAACAGTGAATTATAGGTTATGTGGATTTCTCCTCCATGCATGAAAAAAATGTAAAGACAACAGTCGTTATTTTGATGACTGATCCTTTACCCTAATCCTAGCTCAGTTTCCTCCCTGACCCCACGGTGATGAGACAGAGCTGGGTCTTGCACAGTTGCTGTGAGGGTCCCATGACGTCCCTGAAGACCTGGAGCAGTAAGGTCCCTGTGCACACCCAGACAGGTTGCATACGTCCAACATCTTCCCCCATTCCTTCTGCAGAGCAAGGACACAGCAGGGCCCCATGCAGGTGCACAAGAAGGCAGTGGGGGCCTGGGCCGGGGACAGCTCCACCTACTGGAAGCCCTGTAGTGGGGATTCATGACTTAGTGAGGGATTTGGGTTTGGGCGCATCTGAGTGGGGCCCCCAGGTCTCCACCCATCCAATACACCCTCTCTCTTCCTCTGAGTAGGATGAAGACCACAGGGCTTTGTGGAGAATTTGCTTGACATGGATTGAACCCTTGTACCTGTGAAGGTGAGCTTGTTTGGAAATAGGGTCTTTGAAGATGTAGTTGAGATACAAGCTAAGACGAAGCCATCAGGGTAGGCCCTAACCCAACGTGACTTGTGTCCTTGCAAGAAGAGAAGGTGGACATAGACACAAAAACACACGGACAGAACAAAGCGGGGTGAAGACAGAGATGAGAGGGAGGTGGCCACCGGCCCAGACACACCTGCAGGCCCCAGAGCTTGGAGGAGGCAGGAAGGACCCTCCCCTGGAGCCTCCGAAGGGAGTGCAGCCCTGGGATACTTTGACCTTGGAGCTCCAGCCTCCAGAATGTGAGAGGATAAAACTCCATTGTTCTAAGCCATCCAGTTTGTGGTAATTTGTTACGGTTTCCTCAAGAAACTAATTCAGAGGAATTCACTGGGACCCAGCCTCCTCTCTTGTTTTATCTGTCCATTCATACATCCTCCATCTGCCTATCCATCCATCTACCCATCCATCCATCCATCACCCATCCATCCATCCATCCATCACCCATCCATCCATGCATTTATCCATCTGTCCATCCACTCATCCATCCATCTATCCATCCATCCATCCATCCATCCATCACCCATCCATCCATCACCCATCCATCCATCACCCATCCATCCATCCATCCATCACCCATCCATCTACTCATCCATCCATCCACCCATCCATCCATGCATTTATCCATCTATCCATCCACTCATCCATCCATCTATCCATCCACTCATCCATCCATCTACTCATCCATCCATCCATCCATCCATCCATCATCCATCCATCCATCCATCCACCACCCATCCATCCATCCATCCATCACCCATCCATCTACTCATCCATCCATCCACCCATCCATCCATGCATTTATCCATCTATCCATCCACTCATCCATCCATCTATCCATCCATCCATCCATCCATCTACCCATCCATCCATCCGTCATCCATCTGTCTACTCATCCGTCCATCAGTCCATCCATCCATCTATCCATCCATGCATCATCCATCCATCTACTCATCCATCCATCCATGCATTTAGCCATCCATCCATCATCCATCCATCTACTCATCCATCCATCTATCCATCCATCTATCTATCCATCCTTCCATCCATCCATCCATCTACCCATCCATGCATTTATCCATCTGTCCACTCATTTATCCATCCATCACCTAACAAATGATTACAGAGCCCATGGTGATTTCTTGTGGTCTCTCATGCACAAGGTCACAGCTCATGCAAGCATGCCCCCATTTGTTCCTGTGGCTGAGACTGAGGGGTTATTTTGGATCCTACCCCATATGCCTGCCTGCTGGACTGACCCTGTCCTCAATGCAAGAATGGGTTTGCCCCGTTCCACCCCCGGCACACGTGCGTATGACAGAAACCCCTGGAGACCCATGCCTCCAACCACAGGGTACTCGGAGGAGCCCACACATCCTGGCAGATGGGCCACGTCCGTGGCAGCGAGCTACCAGGCAGCCCTACACGGAGCTGCGTCTCCTAATTGTCCCACTTCCTCTATTCCCTTTATAGCACAAGTTATTACAAAAGTGTCTTTCTGTTGTTCCTGTTTTGTAGCCAAAGTGCCACTTGTCAGAACCAACGTTTGGTTCTTGGGCAGATAATCCCATGCTGCAGGGGTGACACACACTCTCGCCAGGCCCTCTGTGTGGACGGTGGGGAATCAACCCTGGCCCATTTCCCCTGCCAAAAGGAAACCTTCTTTATTTTATACACATATCTCTGTGCCCTATTACAGGGCCTTCTTAATTTTAAGTGTTCTGTTATAGGAACAGGAGCACACAGCTAAGACGGAGAAATGGGAGGAAGTGGCCCGGAATGTTCTGACTCAGCCAGGTTCTCCCCCTGAGACCTGGGGGATGTGACCTGGTCCTGCATCTCCTCCCAGCCTGGCTGCACTGTCCCTCCAGCCTTCCCACCTCTTCCCTGGTGGTCCTGCACTGGGGGCAGTTCTGCCACACAGAGGACACTTGGTGGTGTCTGGGGACAGTTTTGGTGTGTCACAATTTGTGCAGGAGCAACTGACATCTGGTGGGTAGAGACCAGGGATGCTGTTCAACACCCTGCAGTGCGCAGGACAGCACAAGAGTTATCCCACCTAAAATGCCAGGAGTCTGCATTGAGAAGCCCTGCCTGACATGAGCGGTCTGTCTGTCTGTCTGTCTATCTATCTACCTACCTACCTCTTCATCCATCTTATCTATCTATCCATCCATCCTATCTATCCATCTATCACACATTTCCCTATTATGAATGCATGTGTGTATCTACATTTATGTGCCTCTATCATTTATTATCTATGTACCTATCTACCAATCACCTACTTATCTATCTATCCAACTGTCAGCTGTCAATCCATCTACCATCTATCAATTATCTATTATCTAATCTATTTGTCTGTCATCTACTTACCTATTCATTGGTCATGTCAATGATCTATATCATCAATTAATCAATGAATCAGTCATCTGTCATCTAATTTATCTATTTACCTGTCATTTATCTGTCAATCAGTGCTTTGTGACCAGGGGCGACTTTGCCCCTCTCACTCCAGGACATAGGACAATGTCTGGGGACATTTCTGGTTGTCCCAACTTGGGGAGGAGAGAACTGCTGGCATCTGGTGGGTGGAGACCAGGGAGGCTGGTCCACACCCCACAGTGCATGACAGGACCACCCAGTCCGAATGTCACTCATGTCCCATCCAAGAGGCCACACCCTGGCCCTGTGTATCTGACACTTGATTCTGCCCCCAGACACCCCTTGATTCTCTTTTCCTGCATCCCCTCTCTCCATTGGGGTCTCCTGCTCATGCCGTTCCCCAGAAACAATGCCCCGGACCCTAAGACTACTCAAAGCCTGGGGTCCCCACTCTCGACTCCCACCCACTCAGAAGCCTCCTTGAAGGTCCAGCCAGGACCATCTTCCACAAACACAGCCTGGCCCACCCCCTGCCCTGCCTCGTCCATGCCACCCTTACCCCCAGCCACTTCGGCCTCTGTCTCGTGTCCAGCCCCCATCGTGTCAGTGAACCACAGATTCTACCTCTGTGCTGTTTTCTGCTCAGAGCACCAGCGACCCGGTTCACACCTCGGTCCTGGCCCCACAGCCCCACCCAGATCTCTTTCCAAAGCATAGACCAGCCATGCCAGATGCTTGCATGACTTTGCCCATGAAAGTCATCCTCTTTCTGGGACTGTCCTACCCGTGTGCCCGAACCTTCCCTCCACTTGGCACACACAGCCCATCCTCACCCCTGCTCTCACCCACGACATCTGTCCTGCCACAGCTCTGCTCTCTTGGACATCCCAGATGCCCCTGGTGAATGCCACCTCTTCCAGGAAGCCCTCCTGGATTCCTTCCCGCCCTGAACCCTCCGAGCCTGTGTCTCACTGTTTGATCTTTCTATTCCCTGAAAGTGCTCCACATTGCACAGGGCACAAGGTGACTTGTCCACTGCCCCCATCAGTGGGACAGCAGGCCAGCGGCCAGATGTCAGGTTAGTCAAGAGGGCCCTGAAGTCCAAAAGTCTGGGTCCAGTTTCCTGCTAGGCCTCTCACGGGCTCTGTGTGCTTAGCCAAGTCCGAGCCTCAGTTTCCGCACTGGACATGTGGGGCTGAGGACGGTGAGGTTAGGATGGAAGGAGATGGTGTGCAGGCAGGGTGTGCATGGCTGTACACAGTCGGTGCAGAAAAAGTGTTGTATCACAGTGCTCGGGCACCCAACCTGCTTGCTCTGACACATCGTCCTCCTTTCGCAGAGGGGACTGGGATGAGGATGACAGGCACTGCGGACTGCCTGCTCCTGAGTCCTGGCCATTTCCACCCCAGCAGGACAACCTGTGCAACAATGTAACCGCAGTTCCCCACTCAGACACCGGCACAGATGCGGCCCCCGAGGCCCTAGCTCAGATGCAGTTCCCCCAGGTCCCAGCATGGACACGCCCCCCCAGGTCCCAGCAGAGACATGGCCCCCAAGACCCCAGGACAGACTCGGACCCCCAGTGTCACAGCACATAAGCAGCCCCTCAGGCCGAATTCCCTGCATGGCTCAGAAGCATACCCAGTCACCGACTGCCCTTCCGGCTACTGCTTTCCCTAAATGAAGGCAGACCTCACGTCCATCCATCCCTCTGTGTGGCAGGAGGGTGTGGATGCAGGCGCCCAGCTCTCACTGGGGATTCCCAGTGCCCAGCGCTGTCCCCTGGGACCTTCCCGGGGAGCCCACCCCTCAGCCCCGTCTGTGCTTGTCCACGGGATCATGGCTCCCCACGGTGTGACCTTGGCCCTGGGGAGGGTCAGAGGCCGGCATGGGTCATCTCCGGGGGTGGGGG